AATGAGATAAGTGCTGTTGCTGTCAAAGAGGTATCAAAGTCGATTTGCCTTTCAGGTCTTGAATTATGGTTATTAAAGGAAGCAAACTATAAATTCTAGGGTGTATATCTGTTTATGCGCCTTGATGAAAAGACTTATGAGTCCCATAAAGTACATAGTACTTTTTTGTAATATACGCGCCATTGTGATTTGGATTTTATATCCCCATTCATTTATTCATTATTTATATACCATCTTAATGCTCAAAGAAAGAGCCATCAGACAAGCGGCAAACAGCAATATCCCTTTTGAGCCTTCGCATGTCACGCTATCACAGGTTGTTTTGACGCAAAAGAATCCGATTTTGTAAATGAGACGATGATGATGATGATGATCTAGACGTGGGGGGGGGGAATAACCAGGGTTGTGAGAAGAAAATATCGACTGCATTGTCCTTCAAACATTTGCCTTGAGTTTTCAGGCACGGTTTGAGAGGGAGATAGCATCTGAGTTATTTGAATGCATAAATAAAAAACCTCGGGGAATGGTTACACGCAACACGTTTGGCACTGAGTTTTGTATTTATTTTCGGAAATATTCAATTCAACTGAATAAGAATGCCAAATTGATGCATTTATTGATTTATTAGATTTGGAAAATTACACTATGTTAAGGACTACTTGATGGACTTTACATTAAATACTAGATTAGATTATACAAATAGAAACCTTATAAAATGTTGGCAAATTGATCAGCTGATTTTTAAAACTTATAATTTCAATTTTGTTTGAAAGTAGATCGACAATAATAGCATACTTAAAGAGAGGCACTCTGCATGCACTTTCTTTATCTACACAATATGCCCTAACAGAGATTAATTTCGACCCAACTTCATTTCCCCCTCAACCCACGTCCTACAGCCTATGGGGTGTGGAGATAGTTACTAGAGAAATTATCTATCAGTCAGAAATTAGTTACTAACTTGCCTTCTTATAATTCATTCAAGACGAGAACTGTAAAAATGCAGCTTTCAGTCTTAATATGCCTGCATTTTCCGGTTTTGACGTTTTACTATAAGAATGTAAATATAATCCCCCCAGTGTATGAAAAACGCAATAACTGCACGATTCTTAGCAAAGCAATGTCACAATTGCTATGATTAATTAATTTATCAATTCGGTCATTCAAAGCCGTGTTTATTTTACTATTAATGTATTATTATGCTTTCGAAGATACCTCAAAAGATGAAATAACTTTTGCTGAAAGCTTTTTTTCCATGAATCATCGCCTGCTATTAACATCAAAACCTCATGTTACGCAGATAAAATAAATGTTGTGTAAAAAGACAGTAGCATTTTATTAACCCACATCTATGCTTGTGTCCACTGCATGTTTCATCCGGGTGTTTAGACAACCACAAACTTTTCAGGTTTTGCCAAATTTGCCAGTCCATACCAGTTTCCTTCTAGAACACGAGGGCTGGTATTTTTCGTTTATTTGTACGGCTTATTTCACTAATATATTGGTGGAATAACAAAAAATGCAATTCAAGGTCGCGAGACTCGGATTTGTCTCTCCGCACAATTGACACACTTTTCGCAGTATGTGGACGTAGGCTGCTCATGGCACCTTGATAGGCAGTCTAGACAAACAACAAACATAAGAATATTTCCACTCACGGTGAACTGATTTTGTTTAATTTGTAAGTTTTCCAAGAAAAATAAGAATTCATTGGAGAAAACACACTCAGTAAATTGGGATTCATTTGTTGGAAGTATCCCTCAATCTGCTTGCCTTTTGACACCCATTTTGGCATATGCATAGAATTCACGGGATCATTGACGATAGTGAAATCAAAAAGGTTTGGACGTGGTTGGCTAGTGAAATACTGCAGTCACTTCGCATTGATTTGGATCATATTGGCAACCTCTATTATACCTTTTAGTCCATGTCTCTCCAAAAAGCGATTACTTGTCCGACAATTAGTTGACCTTTGAATGACAGCAAGCGAAATTTTCTACTTAATAAGGTCATTGGAGCTAAATACATCTAACTTGTCTGGGTCAATTGTAGCTGTTTGTATTATTACAGCTTCGGGGTGAACATCATGTCAAATGTCCTTTAAAGTAGGCTTGGATTTACTCTATTCAAATTTGCGCTTTCAAGAAGAGAAAGCAATTAATGAGGGGGGAAAGTCTTAAGAGAGCAGTTTGCATCCATTCATAAAGTTGAATTTTGGGAGTTGCTATTTTAAATAGTCATTGAATCCCTCATCCGATCTATTGCTGATTCCTAATATTCATATTTTGAGAGAAAGTTGAGAATTAAATATCCTTAAATCTTAGGTGTATTTGTTACTATATGTTTACCAACTAATAGTAATTAAATAACCAATAAGATTTGAACATCCAAGACATTAAGGCACTCAGATATTTTGTTCACTTCAACATGACGCTGGGAAAAATATACATTGAAAACAAATGAAACAGCGGACAAAGTAGCTGATTGAAAGAATTTTCCACCGCCTTCAATAAGTCCAACGCTTTTCCTCAGGTGGAATTCTATCCTGTTCCATACTAACACGATTCCTACCTCAGCTCTTATATCGAACAATTGCAGCAAAGTCCTCTAGCAACTCTCCATCGATTTGCAGTTAATTCTACTCATCCACCAACCTTCATTTCTCTACTCTGTTTCTTCGAATTAAAGTCAAATCTATATTAACATTTCCTCAACAGAAATAATTAATTTGTAAAGATTCCACAATGAAATGAACTTAGCACAACTTTACTCGTTTACAAATCTCTTCTCTTAGAGGAAATCGAAATTAATTTCTGTTTGTTCAAACGTGATGCATATCGAACATTATTTTCTGAAACCAACTTTTGTTTCGTTTCCATCACTTTGTATACCTGTCATATCCTGCATTTGGTCCAACTGAAGTGTATCATGAACAATATTTCACTAGAAGAAAAACAGAAAACCAGAATATACGAATGTTCTTTCGGTGCCTCCACCTTATTTCCACCATATTCTCCCCCACCCCCCTATTTCATTTATTGAACTTATTGTTAATTGATTTCATCTCGTTGCAATAATTGCAATTAATTTTTAAAATTTGTGTGAAAATATAATGATGAATTGATTTTGGAAAATAGGTCCCCTTATTTTACGCCTGAACTTTTATTGATTTCTCTCATGACGAAATAAATAGGCAATGAGGACTAGAATTTGAGGGCTAATTACAATGATCTCAAATGAAGCACTGGCACTAGCTTCTGACTACTTGAAGTCGGCTACTATTCAATTCGACCCATTCTTTGTAGGCTTAATATTTTCCAACCCATTGAATGCAAAGAACATTGCTATATATATATATATATATATATATATATATATATATATAACGGAATTATATATATATATATATATATATATATATATATATATATAGGCGCAAATGCTTCATAACTATCATTATGAAGAACATATAAACGTAATGGCTGTGATGATTCCCAAATAAGTGGCATGGTTAATTTTTACTAAGAAGTATTTTAAGTGATAGAAATGAAATTCAGGGAAACAGGAAAAGCCCTATAAAAGTGGGCTCAGAATTATTAGATCGACTACTTTGTACAATTCTTAAGAGACATCTTCCAATGGTCCTGCAGACCGACTGACCAGCTTTAATCGACTTTTATCACGGACTGGTTGTATGTCTTTCTTTTATCCGTTTCCCATTTATTGAGAATCATAATGCTTCAGTAATATGAAAAATGCAGAGATTTCGCTTTTCGTGTCATTTCTGATTTTTTTGAATGCTTTCGATTGTCAAAACTGGCTAAAATTAGCAGCAGCTAAGATGTCAAGTGATTCGTGTCAATAGAGATTTGGTAGAATTGAACTCTGCTTCAAGAAAGTGTTCTGGTTATTTTGTGCAAAGAAATGCATTTTTCAATTCTGTTATTTTTTCCCTTGTCCTCTTCCTAACATTTAACTGAATTTTTGCCAGTAAATCATCCACATTTTGCAGAGTGCACTTGCTGCCCCATATCTATGCATGTCCTAATTTGCGATCAAAGATTTTTATCGGTTATTTATCAGTGAATGGAGGATACGACTTCTGATAACTCTCTCTTCGTGCTCAAATGCGCTCACTTCGACACATCGCAGTTATGCCCCTTCTCTTCCAATTTCCTACGCTGCCCTCTATTTATTTCTTTCTCTCTCATTCAACTGAGTCTGCCAATCTCAACGACTAATTGTCTACTATTTGTGGAATATTATTTTGATAGGTGGGATATTTAAATTGATTTGACCATTGGGAGAAGGGATATACTCCCTTCCTGATCACATCTACTCTAAGTAGATACGCGATGAATAGTCCTCTCTCACGTTTCCTTACATGTATAGTTGTAGAATGAGTGTTTTAAATTATCGAAGAAAGTAAAAATGATTTCGAAGTACAACTCGAAAGAACAATTTGTTGTACCACACCATTTATTTGCTCCATACAGACATTAAACTATAACAAAAGCATAAGTTTCAGGGCTCAGATGGGTTGCTTATTACCCTCAGTTAGAATTCATCCTAGTCATTATCATTTTGTTGAATAAGGCTGCGTGGTTGGGATGATGGCATACAACAACAGCATTGGCGGTCTGGTTTGTGTAAGCAAGCAAGCAAGCCCATCTCACTAGCCCATATTCTCATATACAGTATTAGTCAAATGGAATGGAAGAATCTGGGCACATTGGGTGGGGTGGGGGGGGGGGGGGGGGGGGGGAGGGAGACGCAGCGCTGTCAGACGAAGCAAGCTGGAAGGGTTTTCACGAAAGGCGTGCGGAGTTTAGCTCTCTATTTTCTTTTTAAAAATATTAACATAGGAGATAAACTGGGTCTAATTTAAGGCCAACAAGGACATTACAGCTGGAATAAATTTCAACATCATTCATAAAATTTGCTGCCAATAAGCCATCTGAAGAAAGGAGGAAAAAATTGAGATGCAGGGGGGGGAGGCATCAGACAAATTCTCCAGGATCCTCCTCTGCAATAGTCCGATTAGGGAAGTTCTTTTTCGCTCCTAATTTCTTACTGGGAATTGAGGAGGAGTGTTTCGTACCACTCTTTGATCGGTCTGTGCTCTGAGTAGTGCTTGATATAGATCCACTTACGATACTATTTGATCCAGATCCAGGTGGAGGGGGTAAGGGAGGAGGCATTGAATACTGGGATGCTGGGATGGTAGGAGGTGGGGGTAAACCACTACCAAAAGGGTATTTCGAACTCGATATTGCAGGCGCTGGCGAAGTAATGGGAGTGGTAGATAGTTGAGAACTTCTCTGAGCTCCACGAGGTGAATGGATATGAGAATGTCCTAGAACACCCGGTTTCCAAGCTATCTCATTTGCTCGAACTTTTTCAGTAGTTGGGAGGAGCTGACGTCGCTTGTAAATAATCCATAATTTTTCCACTATTTCTGAGGCGACTAGTTCTCCAGCATTTTGGGCTACTAGACGAAGGATAAAAACACCATCTTGTCGAAGATAAGAATCCACAAACGCGTAAGTCCTCTTCTTTTCCCCAGGCTCAAGAGAATCTCGAAGTTTAAGAAATTTGCGAATAAAATGAATCCGATTAGAACGGAAACTTGACTTGTAGGACCAGTAAAGGAAGGAACTGATGCTCACTGCTGATACAAGGATAAACCAAAACCACAAAAATATGAATATCTTTTCGTTAAACATATTGATAGGCAGGACACATTGCACTGTATATCGATGGCTATTGGCAAGTTTACGAATCTCAAAATCGCATAGAGTAATTCGAGGAAAGTTGCCTGATTCCTCCCAAAGGTAGCCTTCAGCAATATCACGTATTAGATCAAGGCCGTAAAAAGTGTAATTTGTGCCGAGAATTCGGTTCATAAGGAAGAATTGCCCAACAACGTTGAATATGTACAGGGCTTTAGTTATGAGGTAAAGGCAGATAAGATAGTTGCCATAGCGTTTGCCGAACCAGAAGCAACAAGACCGTGCCAACGCCTTACGACAGTTGACTCCACAGCCATCACGATACTCCCTTTGTGAAGTCAAGGAATCCTCTATGTGTCGAGCTACATAGGTGATATTCGATTTTCTCGACTCGGGGTCGCGTATCATCTCAATATCACAGGATACTTCCATTATGCTGGAGAGCTGTAAAACAATCACATAATTTGTAATAGCACTCCAAATATTGAGAATTTAATTATTGCAACTTTTATGCATAATCTTATTGCTTCTTTAAAATCAGGATTTAGTGGTTACCTACCACCTGGAAATCTGATTTCTTCATTTCTTCCTGGTATTGAGCACACGTTGTTTCTGTGTGCGAAGGTTTGCCCATAAACACTAATTCTCGGAAATGGAAATTTATAAGTAAATTCGATTTGATTCTTAAAGAGCTACTGGAGAAAAATAACAATTCGGTTCACCTGGTGTCATTTTCTTCATGTACAGAAATGCGTACCAAAAATCCAAAAGAAGGATTTACAATTTTAACTGTAAATACATATCTCTAATTACAAATATAAAGTCACTTTCATCCTTCTATCCTGACCAATAAGTGGTGAAAACTCTGCCACTCCCTACAAGTCAGTTTTGAGTGATACCATCTCCCGTTCACTCAACCTTGGGCAATTAGGGTGTAAGTCTTCTACCGTAATCATGCCAATTTCAACTTAATGAGACTATGAAATTGCAAACTATGTTGAGCTTTGATCTCAAAGCTCCATATTGACCAGAAGTTATATTCACTCTCCCTCTCCTGAAATCGAAGATCCAAGAATAGCTAGAAATAAGGAGTTCAAGCACTGAGGACCTTTGCCACAACCGGCCATATTCACTTATTTTAAGCCAGCAAGTTTATCCTACCACTCTCCTCAATAAATAACATTTATATTCGGTGGGTCATAGGTCAAAATTGCGTATTTGGTAGACCTTTTACTCAAATGGATGTAATAATTATATCCCCTGGCTAATTATGTGTATCATTTTGGTCTATTGACCATGTAAATAGTGATTGGTAATTGTTTCATCATGAACGATAATGAAACATGATGCTTTGTTTTAGTTTCTGAGCAACCTCTAGAGTATCCCAACGATATCGTGGAATCACATTTATCCCGGAACCGCGGGCAATTCCACATGAACACTAAAGTTAAGCATATTAATAAGAAAGACACGTTGTGCTGTTTATTAATGCCTATTTATATGTATACGAAATTCAAAATTGCCAAGTGTGGTTGGAACAAAGTTACCAAGATTTTCAAAGCATTGGAACTGATTGTTTGATGATTTTTAAGGAGACTTGCATATTAGGTTAAAAAAGCTTTCAGTCATCGGTTTAAGGCAATTAATCTCGAAGGCAGCTTAATTCGATACAAATTAAGCTACAAGTGACATACCCTTTGTATTCTTGACTTAAAAGTCATTTGTGCACAAGCAAAACAAAGTTTAAGTTTTAAGCAGACTAATAATTTAAATGAC